GGCTTATAGGCGGCGGCTTATCTAGGGGGTTTATAGCCTATCTATAGTGTTAAAGAGAGGGAAGGTATATTATAGGCTAGGCTCTAGCCTAGCACCTTCTAAGAGTGGCTAGCGTAGAGCCCCTAAAGGGGGCCCTTATAGGTGTAACTAGATAATAATCGGTTAGTATTGTTATTATAAATCCTTTTAGCCTTATAGTTAAGGGGGTTAGGGCTTACGCCCTTAATAGCCACGGGGCTGGTTACCCCTAAAGCCCCTCTAGGGCTAGTCTATTATAATAGTTTATTTTTTAAGTAAATAAAAGACTATTATAAAGTCTTAAAGTAGCTATTTAAAAGTATATATAACTAAAACAGAATTTAAGGTAATTGTATTTCTATATAAATTATACCTAAAATGATATACCTAGTAAAGACCTATTGGTCCGGCTAGCGGCTCTCACTAAAAATGCATGGGTGGTGGGTGAGTGTATCAAGCGAGTCTGGCTGCCGATGCGAGTCTCGGGGTGGTAACGGATGGCTGGTACGTGTATCAAATGCATCCTCCATACACTTGTTACGTTGAACAAACTTACGAGCCTAGGCGGATGAACGTCTGCATGCACACATAGCAATTCTCACTGACGGTCACCCTCAAAAACGTCCCCAGCCAATGTGGACATCGACCAGCTCATTTGGATTTTCAAGATCGATATATCCTAGAGCAGCATGAAAAATAGAGCAGCATGAAAAATGGAGACATCACTACAGTATAATGGACATAAGACAATTAATTGATAACGCCAATATGCATCTTAGAACGCGCCGCAATCGCGACACTGGGGTACCCTCGAATATAGGCCGGGCCATCCATATTTCTGCGGCTCCAGGCCCAGGCACATTCTCGGTAGCGTATTACTGATGACACCCTATGCCAGAGATCGAATAATATAGAAAAGAAGATACGCCTGGGCACCTAGCACATCGGATAGGCTTGCCAGCTCGACTTTATGGTCATTGAACTTGAACCACTAGAGGGCTAAAGTCAGTACGAGATAATACCTTTGAAGGCGGAACCAACGGACCTGATCGCCTACGCGGCAGTATGAAGTATAATGCCCCGTTTCGAGCTCCCCAACGTGAACAACGACGCTTAGAAGGTCATAAACACATGATCGTTGTAGCTCCATGTTTTCCCGGCTGTCACGGCTACGAACCCGATTTGTGTATGGGAGCATGTTGAGCTGCAGCGGAAAGTGTACCGGCACGTCGACCTTTGAGGCGGCATGATCATGACGCCCTTGCTTGTACTCGAATCGCTGGAGAGTGGGGTTTAGTCGTTTGCGGTGGATATGGCATGATGATTGTGAGCGCTTACCTTGAGTTGTATAGAGAGCACATTTGGTAGGCGCTTAACGCTTGTGTAACGTCGCGCTTGCTGTGTTGAAGCACAGTGGTAGCAACGATACTCACACTTGTCTGATTTGATATATTCTTCATCAAGACAGTCAGTGAGGCTAAGATTAGGTATCTTTTGCCCTGCCTTCTTGTTCCTCCTCTGCGCTAGGCTGTCAAGCCCTACGCTCAGATCCAAAAATGATTGTACTGTGTTACTAGAGCTGTTGCAATTTTGACACGTTGTCGTCGTTTGCATCTTTCCGTAGAATGTCTGGTGAATAATGCAATTACAGCTGTGCTCGCTCCCAATCTCGGGCTTTTTGCCATCGCCATTCCGCTCGTGCAAATCTTCGGCCAGGAATTGGAAGAACTCATGAGCGTCTTGTTCTTTGGTAGTAACCAGATTTTCGAAGGCTTTCTTCTCCGAAATCCAAAAGCCAGACAGGATATTAGCAGCCGTATAGCCATTGGTGTTTTCCAAGGCATAAAAGTCTTGGAACATGTCATCCATAGCACAGCTCAAACAGTGAGGCACGTTACATTCGTTGCTTTGATGCCCATCGCTGAGGTAGAAGTTCCGTAAAAGAGGGTTGTGTAGAAAGCTCTGCAGAACAACGTTTTGGTAGCATGTTGCTCCAGCATTGTAGATACCTCGAAGACCATCGGCACGGCACGAAGCGAGGGTGGTATTGGAAGAGATGTACCTCGGGTCGTCTTTGATTGAGTCGGTGAAGAGCTCGTCGTGTTTCCTCTTACGTCCTTCATGGTTGTTAGCTTGGAAAATTTGAAAGTATTGCAGGTGTTCTACCAGAGAATGAACCTGTCCCAATTTTTCGCAAACGTAGTTCTTCAAGAGTAGGGTCCCAGACCAAATCGTCACAGATTTGACAGTACAGAGCTCCGTTCCGAGAGTCGACATCTGAGAGAGTCAGCCGGCGGAGTCATCGCATGTGTTGGGGATAATATTTACAAAATCTATGCGACTTTTTGTTCCCATGCCCCAACCTGTCTTCCTCAGAAACTGTCGTTGGACATTGAAGACAAAGAAAATTTGAAGTCAAAGTGGTGATCGGCCGGCCTTCTTTGCTGGTGGATGTCTGCGGAACAATTGGATTCGTATCGAATATGCCACGGAGAATCATCTTGTAGTGTGCTATCGAACTATTCATCACCTCCTGCCCTTGTGAAAGGAGCAACTGGACGTGTTCTGCGTAAGCAAAGTTAGTTATCCGTTCGGAGTATTCGGCCAGGATTGAAGCGTACCGCATCCAAACATAGGAGAACCTGGCGTAGGCGACTTCACACGAACATTACGTGGAGATGCTGGAGTAACTGGTCGGCTAGACATGGTGTCCAACTGTGATGGCCAAACGGCGCCGGGTCGCGTGCAGCGTCTCACAAGGCGGCAAGATGTCTGGGAGTGCAACAGGCTTGCCCTATCGTTGGTGGTCCCTTGTTTTTACTATTTGGCGCTTTTTCGGTCGTTCAATGGAGTATTGGGTGGTATTCTGGTCGAGTGCGGTCTGCGATGGTGGCTTCCACGTTTGTGAATAGGGATACTTGCGGCACAGCGCGGCTTCAGAGGCTAACACCACCACTTGCGACCTGAGCTAGATGCTTTCGTATTCGTTTCGGGTCTAAGGCAGGCTTCTCAAGCGGTCAATTACTGTAATGTCATGCTGATTTCGAGGTCGCAGGGATTCTTTTATCTTATAGACAGGAATTCTAGTTAGCTCACCTGAACAAGTATGTCTAAAAGCTACGCCATCAAACCCAGTTTAGAGCGGTGTTGTCTTATCGATTAGGGTGATTCCGGGAATAGATAATTCCGCGGCCGCCTTATCATATAACGTATAAAGAAATGATAAAAAATAAAGATAAAAAGGAAATTAGCTTTATATTAGATTTAACTATAAGGAATAAAATAGCTATTTTATATATCCTAATTCCTAGTCTTAGGTTATATTATTTAATATTATAGGATAATACTATATCTTAGCATACCTAAGGTTATTGCTTATTTATGCTTATTATTAGTGTAGATAAGATAAGCCCTCTTATTAGGGTAGTGCTCTAGATCGGTTTGTGGAGTTGTCCCAGCAGACGACCAACAGTCGCCATCGTCCAGAGCAAAGTTGTTTACGTTGCTCGAAGACTTCAATCTAGAATTAAAGAACAAGACTCGATTTCTTAATCATCTCGATGATAAAAAAAAATCACAACCGGCTGGTCTACAGAGGCCGCGCCCTGGGGTGAAGAGTCCCGTCTCGAGGCCATCACCACACAACTGCGGCCGCGAGCTTGCATATACAGGACTAGTCATCCACAGGCCTTTGTGAGTCCGGAATGATCTTCGTTGCGCTCATTCACGGCCCGGGACGTGGTTTGTCGGCCCACCCACCCCGAGGGCCGGGGTTGCGAGTGAGTGCCTTGCAAACAAGCAGAATAGAGATAAATAGACGGGAAGCCGCAGCTTTTCAAGAAGAGTAGAAGTCTTTCAACTCGCATCTCTTGGTCATTTCTCGTGAGACCATTCTTCTGTACTCACACCACCTCCCACCAACACTTCCGCTTACTCTCCTCCCAACCACCGCCAGCCTCGCGCTCCTCAGCCAGCCCGTCCTCTCCGCGCACATTGGCTCCCTCTCCCCCCCTCCCACTAACTCCTCCCTCGACGCCCGCTCCGGCTGCTACCAGAGCGACTGCCCCAACACCTTCTTCGGCTTCGACATCATCAGCGCGTAGGCGCACAACTTTGCCTGGCTGAGCAGCCTGCGGTGGCGCGGCGAGTGCGGCTGCTCGGCGTTTGCCGTCACCGACGCCGGCTGCAAGACGTTTACCATTTGCACCGGCACGCACTCGGTGTGGTCCAACTTCAACAGGAAACTAGTGGACAGCATCGACTCAGACAAGGCTCTATACAGGGTGATGAACTAGTATAACCCGACCTCACAGTTCCAGACCCCGCCAATTAAGCACGAGGGTAGGACACATACAGAACCTAAGGAAAAAGCTAAGTGCCTTAGGAAAGCCCTACTTAGGAAAAGAACCTAAGGAGAAGACCTACTAAAAGACATCCTAACTATCCTAGGGAAGCTAATACCCTAGCCTATAGAATTCTTAATAGAGGAGATCTAAGATACCCTTATCTTAATAGGAAATATATCCCTAAAGGTAGATAGAATTACTATAAAGCTACTCTATATAGTATAGCTAGTTTTAAAGGAATAGATATATAAGCTTTATTAAAAATACCTAATAGTTAGGTATTACCTTAAAATCTTTAAATAAGCTAATATAGTAATAATATTAAAACTAAATAAAGATAATAAGAGGTTAGTAAGAAGTAAGAAAGAAAAGAAGTAGGAGTAAGGAGTAAGGTAGAGACTAATAGGGACTTATAGAAAAGATTAGGCTACCTAGAATAGAATAAGAAAACTAAGAAATAGATTAGTAAGCTATAGTAAGGTAAAGCTAATTAAGAATACTCCCTATAAGATATTCTAGAACTATAGCTTAGGACTTAAGTAGAAACTTTAATATAAAGAAAAATATAATACCTTATAAGTTCTTAACTATTAAGAAAGATATATTAATAAATAAGAGAAGTAAAGGTAATTATATATAGAAGTAATTAAAAGCTATAATACTAGCTATAAAGAAGTTAAAAGAATTAGTAATAAGGCTAGAAGCCCTTTTCTAGCTAAGTAAGTATATTAAAGATAATAAATAAAATATTATAAAATAGCTATATAAAGTTAGTTAATAAAGAATAGTAGGATTTAATAAGGAAAAGCTATAAGTATAAGAAAAGGGAATATAAAAAGGGGAAGAAAAGGTAGAAAAGAAAGAAAAAGAAAATAATATAAATAAAGAAAATAATATTAATAAGAAAAAAGAAAAAAAAGAAAAAAAAAGAAAAAAAATACCTTTTATTTCTTACTAGCTATTAGTTAATAACTAATAAGATTTTAAATTATTTATTTATTATTATATTATACTAATTAGACTAGCTCTATCTAGTACCTTTATAGCTTATAAGATAGGGAAAAAACTAGAGTACCTAAAGGAAAAACCCTAGCTTTAATATAGGTTTAGTATAATCCTAAAGTAATTCCTAATAAGGAGTAGTATACTCCTTATCTTAATAAAAGATAATAATAATAAGTATAAATATATAAAACTTAGTAGGTTAATAGACCTACCTATTCCCTACTTAACCCCCTTAACCTCCTTCTTTTATAGCCTTATCTTAGCCTAGGCTAGGTACTATATATAGTTAAGGTCCCTTTTAAATCCTAATCTCTAAATACTTTAAAGTTTAGGTAAATATAGTAATAGCTATAAAAGGCTAAAATACCTACCCTTATTATTCTTACTTTAGCTTTTATAGTTTATTTTCTATATTATTTATATTAAATAAGTAAAAACCTTACCCTTTATAAGGCTTTACTTAACTTAAGACTAATTAAAATAGCTTTATTATTCTCCTACTTTTATATACTTTTATACTTATCTTTACTTTTTACTTTATAATTACTCTATTTATATCCTTATACCCCTTTAAAACCCCTAGATTAATATTAGCCTTTATATAGTTTATTATATTTACTATACTAGGTAAGAAAAGAGTTATAACTATATATATTTAATTATTATTATTTTTAGTTTATTACCTAGCTAACTAGCCTATTTATTATAATATTTAAAAAGCCTTAAATTCTTTAATTTTTACTCTTTTCTTTTTTTTTTAATAATATATAATTATATATTTTCTTTACTTTTAATATATATACTATACCTTACTATTACCCTTACCCTTACCTAGGCTAAGCTATTTTTACTTTAGTTATTAAACTATACTAATTCTCTTTTTTATTAGTTTCTTATTATTATTACTATTATATTTATATATTTCCTTTCTTCTTATTCTTATATACCTCTCTAGGCTATACCTAGGCTACCCTTAGCCTTATTTTAATATTATTAATATTTCTTTAGAAAAAATAAAAAAAATTTAATTACTATTACTATTATTATAATAAGTTACTTTATCCCTAGTATTTACCTAGCTTTATCTTATCCCTAACTTTATTAGTTTAATACTATTATTATTACTATTAATAATATAAATACTCCTTATTTATTTATTATCTACCTTTATTTTAATACTAATTTAGCTGTTAAGGGCTAGGCTACAGAGCCCGCCCTAGTCCTTCCAGAGTGGCTAGCGCGGAGCCCCCTAAAGGGGGGCCCCTTATAGGTGCAACCAGATAACAACAAGTCAGTATTGTTGTTACAAATCCTTTTGCCTTCCGTGGTTAAGTAGGTAAGAGGATTAGGGCTTACGCCCCTAATAGCCATAGGGCTGGTTGCCCTAAACCCCCTCTAGGGCCAGTCTATTATATTAGCTAGCTATTCTTTATTATAACCTTATTATCTCTTTATTACCTTACTAAGTACTTATATTAGGTTATTATTATAATTAAATTAATATTAATTCTTTATAATTAATACTTTAAGTATATAAATAAGATTAATACTATTATTTACTTTAAATAAGCTAATAAGTATCTTAATATTATATTAAGATAGCCTTTATTTTAATCTAGTTTTAAATCTTAATATATTTATATATTTGCCTTTATAGTGTAGTGGTTCTATACTAGGGAGTTCTATATAGGTTAGTATATAGATTGCTAGTTTAAATCTAGCTAGAGGTACCCTAAACAATTTTTCTAAAAGTTAAGTAGTATATCTACCTTATAACTAACTTATAAGGGAATATAGATAGGGTAACTATAGAGTTAGCTAAGGTAAAATACTAAAAGGTAATATATACTAACTACTATACTACCTTAGCCTTTAATAAATAGAATAAGGCTAAAAACTATATATATACTATAATATATACCTATAAATAGGTATTATAGTAAGGAACTATTTTATTACTTAGATATATATATAGATAGTAAGTAATTTAATATATTTAGATAGTTAATAAATAATAGAAAATATAGAGTAATATAGATTAAGGTAGTAGCCTAGGAACCTACCTATTAAGAATATACTAAATACTATTAACTACTACTAGGAATTATTATATAATAGTAGATTAGTATATAGGAAAGGCTAGTTTTTACCTAGGCAGCCCTAGGTCTATACTTAGTATAGTAAGGTACTAGTATAAAAGGGGTTTACTACTATAGTTTTTCTAATACTTATAAGTTTATTAAGGTACTAAAAGGACTATAAGGTCTAATTAGGGTAATTTAATAAATAAATAAATATATTTATATATATTAAGTATATAAAAAATAATAAAATTTATATATTAATAAGTCTTTT